AAAATAGAAAGGAGAAAGGACGCAAGGTACAAGAACAACAAAAACAAAAATACACTCACACCCAAAGCTATTCCGAATATGCCTAATGACAGGTCAGCATCCTTAATAACCGTAGAGTCCTCTTCTCGTCGCCAGATCAAAGAGGGACCAAAGAAGGGACCACGCTCTCTGTGTTCGTCAATAGGTCATAGTCCAAGGGGATGACTATAGAACGAGTAGATCCATCCGTTCTCACCTCGACCCGGGCAAACCCCTCGTCGAACATCCTTTCCTCTTCGTGGTTGACGTTGGAGCCGGACTCGTAGTCATCAACGACCACACCTTTCTCCCTCTCCTCGGCAGAGGAAAGAAGGTCATCCCGCCCGGACGTCGACGGATCACTCCTCGAAATGAACTCCGCTGCCTCTGATCGCCCTCCTCCTTCCACGGCAACCTCTAATAAAGGAGAAATCTCCACATCTGAAGGAGATGCAGTCTTCGCGTCAAAAACCATGCCACCCTCGGGAGCGACCGCGGTTGCCTCGGGATCGCCCCTCGTTGGCTCTTAGTTCCCTACTACCTTTCCCCGACCTCTACTCTCTGCCCTTTTAGCGGAACTGCTTCCCCCTCGCTTAGCGACGACTCGTCCACCAAGTGCAATATTGGAGAAGTAGGAGTCTCCGCTAGTGGGGCAGCCGCCCAATGACCAGGCCTATGCAGGGCAGGGGCTGGAGAAGAAGCAGCAGTTTGTGCGGACTCGCCTACAATCACAACAAGTAAAGACCCGGTTAAGGTACCCGATTGATGAAAATCAGGGGTGGGAGCCTTCACTTTCCTCGGAACCCTCCGACCTAACAACAAAGAGATACTACATAAGTGAAAAAGAAGACGGTATTAACGTCGAAGTGACTGAAGATCGAAACTGACTTACTGATCGAAGAAGGTTTACGTCCAAACTTCTTATTGAACGACGACCATTCACGGATCCCCACCGTGTGGGGTAAAATTTGAGTCACCCAGTCGCTAATATCGGCGACCAACGTAGGAGGATCCTTCTTGACTGCACAAAGAAGGAAGAAGGTGAATTAAGTCACCGAAGAGAAACAACAAACAATCAGTTAGCAAAAACGCTTACGTGCGAAGTTCCACTCCTCAAGGAATCCACTGGGGTTCGCCACCACGTGCTCGGTTTTGATATAGAAAAGGTTGATCCAAAATTGATGATTTGTCTTATCGTCCATTTTTACCACCAGTCCCTTGGTCCCACGGTGGCGGAGATGTATCATCGTACCCCTGTGGAAGCTTGGCGCAAAAAGATGCAGCAGATGGTGGATGAATCCCACGGTCAGCCAGCTCCGCGTACTTTATCAACATAAGAAAGAGTTTGTAAATATAGGGGGAGAGCTGGGACGGACAGATGCCGTAATAGCGGCAGAACTCCTCTGCAATGGGGGAAGAGGAAGATAATAGCCCACTTGGAAAGGGTACACGTAAAATGCGCAGTACCCAGGACGATGAACCTAGATCAGGTCGTTCCCGGTCGGGACCAGATCGATGTGAGCGGGAATGTTGTACTTGGTCCTAAGCACGGCAAGATAGGCCGTTTCCATCTCGGATTTTGCAGCCTCAGGTTTGTTCGCAGGTGACTTTGAAAAGTCCAACCTGGAGCCTGAATTACGAGGAATAATTTCCTCCACAGTGGGGAAGTTATCATCCTCTACAATAATAGCTTCCCCTTCATCATGAGAGGGTATGGCCATTGACAACGGAACTGGTCAGAGGTCCCCTCAGGGTTGGAAGATGCACTAGCCATCTCTTGTCATGTGTATGTGAAGGACTTGAAGGAATAGGAGTAGTGGCAATGGCAAAAGTTACTGAAAATAGGAATACAGAAAAAAGAAGAAGAGAAGAGGATACGCAGGTTCAGAAGATTGGAGAATGTAAAGTTTCGTTCAAAAGGTTTCCCCCTTTATTTATAGAGAACACTGGCGCACGGATCGATAAAAATAACCGACAAATGCACTGGGATCGAAATGACAGGGACACATGAAACAATGCAACGCATCGGAAGATGCGTAATGATGACGCATGGGGCTGTGACATCATTTCTGAACCAACGTCATTAAGTGTGGCTCTCAAAATGCCACGTCACCATCTCGGCCGCAATACTCACTGCTCGACCTCCCCATCCAAATCTCTCAAACTGTGACTGACGAAGTCCGCTCATTGAGGTCGACCAAAAGACGACCTCGATAAGCGGATGGACTAATTGTATGGGTCAAAATCCGACCGAGGAAATTCAGCACGAGGAGGTGATTATCGCGAGAATTGTAACTTATCATGGGCAATTTAGCCGAGGTCGGTCAATGGCGAACAGAACAAGCCGTTGAGTGGCTCATCAGGGTCGAGGTCGAGCAGCAAGGGACAGAAGTAATGGCTAGTACAACTTTGGAACTAATAAATGGAATATTCTACTGAATATTCCTTCTGTTGTACCTTTTAGGATTTTTTCGGGAATATCCCATATAAATAGTAGGAGAGATAAGGCAAAAGGCACGTAATATTTCAGTTGAAAAGAATACTTTTGAAAAGTAAGATCTCTAGACAAATACAAAGAACAACTTTCTGAGAGAGATTTGATCCTTATATTCAATCCATTTGATCCTTATATTCAATCCATTGTCATTTCCATCAGATCCGAGAAAGTGTATAATATTCTCTCATATTCTTGTCATTCATCATTGTCAGAAGAAGAAATCATTCACCACTTTCATTGTTGGGTGAATCTTCCTCCTTATTTACATTTAGTGTCATTTATTATTATTTGTTACTTGTTCTCATCACATTAATAACAGCCACATTTATTATGTTTTGCATTAAATCTACTTCGACATGGTCCCACATTACCCATGTAAACTGATTTTTAGATCTCGGGATATTATCTTTAACTAGGATTAATCCTTTATACTTTTACTTAATTAGTTTAACAAAGAGTTTTATTCTTTTTGGTCAAACAATTTGGCGCCGTCTATGGGGAATTTCTAGTTAAAATTTTAGTTTCTTCTTGATCTAAAAAAAACGCAAAAACCCTACACTTGTGTACACAAATCTAACATGGCAGGCAACAGAGAGGAAAAGAGGAAAGCAATAGCCGACCTCACCACCAACCTCCTTCACACCATCAATGAAGTCAATGAACGGAGGGTGAAGACATAATGCCAAATACCTTTCCCAGGAGAAACAACTCGCCTCCTCCTCACGGCAGCATCACAGCCTCGCACGGTAAAGGAGCCTTTACGTCCACAGCGGAAGAGGCGCCACCGGTAGTGAAAAAGTTGTTCGAGGCATGGTTGACAAACACGTTGACCAGCATTCTCGACAAGCCCACTCAAAGGCCGAACCGAGAAGATGCAAGAGTTGGCGTTGCGTCAGCGACAGACGAGCAACACTTCCCTATAACAGGTATTACTCACAATGTTAATGATGCAGAAAACGATATCCTCACAACCATTCTGAGGAAAATGGATGAAATGGAGAACGAGAACAAAATGTTCCGCGACCAGATGAAAGAGCATCAAGAAAGGCTAATTTCAGATAATCGATTAATCTGTTGATCGATAAGCCAACTTGGTTGTTATTTAAATGAATTATATGTTACTCATTGGAGCGATGGTCTTAGAAAGGGAGAATTTCAAGCTGCACTTGTAGTCTCTTCTCCATCAGGACCATTAATTGTAAAAATCACATTTCGAGATCTTCTTTTTCTACTTTGACGGGCATCTTGATAGTCTACTTAGGCACATTGTTATATTACTATGTCTCGTGTTTTGTTCTGCCAAGACTATTGCATCAAATTGAGATGGAGGAATTTCCATGGTTGAAGTTGGTGGAGGAATTTCCATGGTTGAAGTGTTTTCAGTTTTCTCCATGGCATCTCCTTACAGAGAACAGAGGGTTGGGTTATGGGTCATGGATACCGGGTAATGGGGCGGGTCGCTTTTAGTTTAAGACCAAATGGACCAAATGCCTTGGATGGGTGCCACGTGTCCTGTCCATCAAGTCAGGGGTATATATGTTTCAATAGTAAGACGGTAAGAGTTCTTCAGAACCAATAGTATAATGGAGGGCAATTCTAAATAATTTTCAATAGTAGAAGGACATATTAGACCCTTTTCTGATAAATAAAACATATGACCAAAACATATTTTCTCATATGAAAAATTATATGTTGCACTTTCAAGGAGTATATCAATTTCATGACTAGCAACACAATCAAGGTGACAACAAAAAGGAACATACACCCCAAGAAACATTATCTATAAAGAGATAGTGGATCTGATATAACAACATAATATATTATTATTTATAAATAAAATATCTATAGTTACAAATACTATATATCAAACTTATTTGAAGTCTTCGTCTTTGCATGCAGCCAGTTACTTTAAATTTAACTATCGCATAATGTAGTAATATTGACTTTTTCATTTAAAAATATTGCATCTATCTCGATATCAATTGCTATTATATATAGTATATTCCATTCTTATTCTATATTTTATAACTTTCTTATTAATAGACGTAGAATTTACGTGCAACGCACATACTTTAAAACTAGTAATATTTAAAAATTAGTCCCTTAGGGGATAACCGGTGCAATTTTATTGTGATTTGCACGCAGTAAAAATTTTTGACCGGAAAGATGGACTTCGAATTTACGTGTTGATAATGTAATGCTTTCGCAAGTCACAACCATAACCTAGTCAAGTTTAAGAATGACGTGTCCATAAAAAGTGGATAAAACAGTTCCAATTTAACCTTTAAGTGCAACCCAAAGCATGTGATATGTTTCTATAGAAAAAAAAAAGACCAACTACTGCTTCACAAAAACCCTCGAAAAAGCAAGTGGATGAGTGAAATGAATGAATCCCACTTAAAAGATAAGATCGAGCACTTAACCGAAAAATCCCACCATCTATGCAGTAATCATTATACTAATTATCTTAAGCAAAGGATTAAAGTATTAACCATCTATATATTAGCTTAAGCAAAGGATTAAGTATTAACCATCTATATATACTATAATAAAGCACAAATCCAATTTGTCATTCAAATAAATATGGAATTTTTTGGAGATAGAAGTGAAAAGTGGAGTAATATTTTCCTATTAGAAGCCAGTGGTGACTCTCAATCTGATTCCAAGATTCATCTAGGCACCTCTCAAGAAAATTTTGATGAAGCCAATAATATTGTTGAGGACGATGATGCAGAATCATGCAGCTTTGAATCCAAGGATATTCTTGGAAATGCACAAGAAGTGACTAGTGCCTTTGAAGAACATGACGAACATAGCTTAAATGACGAAATACAAGAAAATGAAGGACACCATTGTTGCAGAAAAGAAGAGAGTTTCCAAATTTTTGGAGAGTCAATGGAAGAGAAAGAAGAAGATATATCAAGTGATGATATTATTGCTAAGGGTAGTAGTAGGGTTGCAAATGTGGAAGATGAGGTGGAAAGAAACAGGCTATTCTGGGAGACTTGTTTTGAAGAAGGTTATCCTTGATCTAGATGTATTTTTAATTTATTCTCCTTTTTTCAACATATTTTGTTTGCTGGTGGTAGAATTATTGTGTGTTATACTCCTCCTTTTTGTCTATTAGTTGAGGGAAGGGTAAAAAAGATTGAGAGAGTGGTGTGTTGAGTTTTTCTTTAATTTGAAAATCATTGCTTTTGTCTATAAATGAAATGACATTTTACTTTTTTAAGACATGAGAAAATAAAATCTTGTGACATGTTTTTCTTCTCCATCTCTGTCTCTTATGACAAGTAAAAGTTTTAAGATTACTAATTAATTTGCTCTTGAACCTTAGCGAAATAATTTAACTTTACTCCGTTAATCATAGGGGTCAAATGGATCGTTGCACGAGACACACCTATATCAAGTTGAAGTGTCCACTTTATTACGGGGTATACTCTAGGTTAATATTAATACTCTAGGTCCGCCTCTGAGGGCTGAGGTAAACATCTTCACCAATTTACCTCATTGCGGCAATGTCCTGAAACCTCATAGAACAACCTCAACCACTGGAAGGCAAAATCAAGGACCAAAGGTGCTTTATTCAATTAAGCAAAGTATTCAGAAGGAGGGGTTAAGTTTACCAATTCTAATGTCACTAAAAGGTTATAATATGAGAACAGCAGAGGTATAAAATAATCCTCCACTCCACCTGCACCCATCCCCAGACTTATACAGACAAAAGGAAAAAGAAAATATTAGTGGAACAAATGTGTATTGTCGTATCTAGTCCACTTTTCCCAACTGATTGCTTCTCTACAACATGCACATCCAAGAAACAAAGTACTAAATGTCTATAGAGAGAAGGAAAAGAAGAAGTAGGGTTCCACAAGTTTTACATTTTGATATATGCCCAATTCCCTTCATAGAACTTTCTTATCACATGCTAAGTGAAGTAACAGCCAAGCTGGTGAAATAATCAGTTGTGACACACTCTTCAACCATTCCATAAGAGATATGAATACGAGCAAGCTCAAAAAGGCAGGGCTGTCTTCCTTCAAAGCCAATTCTTCAGTTGCTGTAAAGAGACAAGTAATCCACGAATATAACAATGAGAATGGTCCCAAAGCGTGAGATAATCTTTTACAACATGTCAAACGTGTGTGCTAAACAATCTATAAAATATCTCTTCCTTTCTTCATTGTCAATACATAAGTTTCTTTGCTAACTGCTAAACGGTTGCTTGACTTTTTAATTGCAGCAGCTCGAACATTACACGGGTGGTTGGTTACTGTTTTTCGGAACTGTCAACATTTAAGAAGCAAAGGCAAAAACCAATTAAAGACATATACATTCGAATATCCTGTTATTTTGGTGGAGAAACCCATCGAAAGTGGTGGTGAGAGTCCGAGTTTCATTGACTATATTGTTGCAATGTGTTCTTGTTTGAATTAGGTTTACAGACTTTATTCCTCTTTTACATATTTCGCAGGCAATTTCGCTGTCTTCTATGATGGATCTCATTATTTTCAGGAATTACATTAGAATTGAGTAATAGAAAGGAATTCATTTCCTTTTAAATTCACACCAGCATTTTGCAAGTAGCAATTACCTTATAATTCTCTAAACAGAAGTGACAGAGCTAAGAATCTTTTCTTGCTTCTGCATCCTGATGTCTCCACGGATTGAGAGCATCTCTGACAGCCTTGGCTTCCGGAGAATTTTCCCAGGCTCTCTTTTCTGCCTCTAGAACAGTCACCTTATCATCTGATACAAAATTGTTAGTAAGATAAGCAGCACACTTTTTTCTTCAGATGAAAAAGAGTAGTGACACTTGAGCAAAGCTCTAAAATACTGATACACTGTAGTAAGATTAAACTGCTATCATCTGATACAAAATTGTTACAGTAAGATAAGCAGCACACCTTTTTCTTCAGATGAAAAAGAGTGGTGACTCTTAAGCAACCTCCAAAATACTGATATAGTAAAATTAAACTGTTACCATTGGCAAGGATACAAAGAAGCATGAGAAGATTTCTACTGCAAGTCGGATCCTAAGTCCAGCAACAGTGATCTCTAAAACATCAGATGATTTCGAGCAATATCTAGTATAAAATATGATATCAAATCAATAATTAGACCTCAATCCCATTTTAGATGGGATCAGCTACATGAATCATCTGTATCCGTTGAACTCTATTCAGGTTTCATTTCAATCGTAGTCCCTCTAGAATACGTTATGATGGATAATCTAAATATTTCCAACAATGATTGTTGTTGCAAAACTCAAAAGCTTAAATTCAATCTGTATCTTTCCTTTATTTTTTTTCCTTTTTAATGAAATAGAGCTGGATCTTTTCACTGCAGGATTACTGATCAACTATGGAATATATTTTAATAATCTCAGAGGTATCTCATGAACAATGCCCTCTAAGATTACTGAAGTGCTTACTAGTTGGGATGAAGCTGGAACTGGAGCTGGAAACAGAGATAGATGGAGGACTATCCCTGCAGGTATATGGCGGACAATCTAGAAGGAGAGAACTCCAGATGTTTTGAAGATAGCAATTCAGTACAGAAGACCAAACTGAATTGTGTTCTTTTTTATTTTTGGTGTAAACAGAAGTGCCCAGAAGATACTGTATCCACGGGCGGATTTAGGGGGGGCGGAAGTAGGGTCCTTCGCCGAAAAATTACACTGTATATATAAGGCAAAAGCTGTCTTTTACCTCTATATATTAAGTTTTGAATCCCCTTGACACAACCCAAAAGTGTAGCTTAGTGGTCAAGGGGGTTCAAAATCTTTGTAAGGTCATAAGTTCAATTCCCACTAGCTACATCTTTTTAAACTTTTTTCTTTTTGACCCCCCTTAAGGGAGATCCTACCTCCGCCACTGACTGTATCAATCCTAGAAGTTTTAGAATACTGCTAGGATTGTAGATCAGTTATTTTTTCCTTTTGTTCCCTTGTAAATATGGTTTTTTTAGAACCTATGTACTGTTGTATATTAATACACACCTCCACAAATGTTATCATCTCAAAAAACAAAAAAGCTCGAATCTTTCTTTATTCTCAGAAATGAAAAATGGGTGAGGCACACAATTTAGTGGCGGAACAATGCGGAGGCTAAGGGTTCAAATAAATCACTTTGCCAAAAGTTACAAGTTCAAAAGTTAAGGACACTTGGTCCTGAACTTCGAGTTCCAAGTTCAAAAGTTAAGGACACTTGGTCCTGAACTTAGAATTACAAGTTCAAAAGTTTAAGGACACTTGGTCCTGAACTTAGACTAACATGCTCAAAAGTTAAGGACAATAGGTCCTGAACTTACAGTTACAAGTTCAAAAGTTAAGGACAATAGGCCCTGAAGTCCTGAACTTAGACTAACAAGCTCAAAAGTTAAGGACAATAGGTCCTGAACTTAGATTAACAAGCTCAAAAGTTAAGGACACTTGGTCCTGAACTTACAGTTACAAGTTCAAAACTTAGACTAACAAACTCAAAAGTTAAGGACAATAGATCATGAACTTAGACTTACAAGTTCAAAAGTTAAGGACAAGTAGTCCTTAACTTAGAGTTACAAGCACAAAACTTAAGGACAGGAGGTCCTGAACTTCGAGTTCTAAGTTCAAAAGTTAAGGACATGTAGTGTAACGACCCGACCGGTCGTTTTGACCTCTAACGCGTCGTTCAGCGGTTTGAAGCTCTGAGTAGCTTCACTTCAGGTATTATGACTTGTACGCATGGTCGGAATTGAATTCCGGTAAGTTCGGAGCTGATTTGGAGAGAGAATTCTCATTTCGGAAGCTTTAAGTTAAAGAATTGACTAAGATTGGATTTTTGAGTAAACGACCTCGGAATCGGGATTCGAAGGTTCCAGCAGGTTCTTATGATGATTTCGGACTTGGGCGTATGTCTGGACTGGGTTTTGGAAGACCCTGGAACGTTTCGGCGCCTATTGTGGAAGTTAGCATTTTTGAAAGAATTTCATAAGTTTGGGTTGAAGTGCATTTCAGTGTTATCGAGGTCCGTTTGGGATTCCGGGTCTGGGAATAGCTCCGTGTAGTGATTCTGGTATTGGGAGCGTGATCGGAAGTAAATTCGGAGGTCCGTGGGTCATTTTGGAGTCATTTGGCTAAAGATAGAAATTTGAAGGTTTTTGGGAAGTTTGAAGATAGTAGCAATTCAGTACAGAAGACCAAACTGAATTGTGTTCTTTTTTATTTTTGGTGTACACAGAAGTGCCCAGAAGATACTGTATCAATAAGTTTTAGAATACTGCTAGGATTGTAGATCAGTTATTTTTTTCCTTTTGTTCCCTTGTAAATATAGTTTTTTTAGAACCTATCTACTGTTGTATATTAATACACACCTCCACAAATGTTATCATCTCAAAAAACAAAAACAAAAAACAAAAAAACTCGAATCCTTCTTTATTCTCAGAAATGAAAAATGGGTGAGGCACACAATTTAGTGGCGGAACTATGTGGAGGCTAAGGGTTCAAATAAATCACTTTGCCAGAGAATTATACCGTGCAAATAGGCAAAAATGTAGTGGTAAAGGGAATTCAAAATAACTTTAGGACACATGATCAAATCCTAGGTGTGACGAATTCCGGGCTCTGCTACAACTAGAAAAGTAGAGGCGAGAGGAAAAAGGAAGGATGACATACAAAAGCCAGTTTTGATCATGAACAACTCCATGGAACCTCCAATCATGGCGGAAACAACTGAAATTTTCAAATACCAATCCCAGAATTTCATTGCAATCCTTCTAATACAGCTCCAATTCCTGCAAATCAAACAGAATTTTCAAGAAGCCAGTAACAGTTAAAAGGGAATTCAACAGTGGACTAGAATGTAAGTGATATGTAAATCGAGTCAAAATAAAAAGCACTATCAGTCAGTCAATCAGCTATTCTTAATATCAAATTAGTTAGATTATTTTTACCTAGTAGCCAAGCGAATCCTCTTCCTTTGTGGGAACTTGAAACTGTGTATGCTATCTGGGGATACGGATTCTTCTACTCCTCCGATAACTACCGATGCGACAACACTGCTTCTGGTTCTTCTCCTTTTTCTTGATTTATTATTCAGTTCAATTGTTGCAATTTGCGCGACCGACTTCAGCCCAATATCAACAGTAACAGTGAGAAGTGCAATAATAGCCCTTTTTAGGACCCCTTTTTTAAAAATTAACCAAAGTTCACCAACTTTTTAAAGTTTAGCTATTTCATAATCAACTTCAAACATGTGAGTGTGAAGTTGAAAATTGTGGGGCTGCCAAAGTGTAACTTCAGATCAATGTTTGAAGTTTGAATGATGTTCAAATTTAGATAGGCTTTGGTAGAACTCAATTTCAGACACGAAGCTAAGCAACAATAATGGCAGGTTCAACATGAAGTTCGTCAAAACAGATTAAACTTTAATAATTTTTAAAAATTGAATATATTTTAAATAAGAGTGCTACAAGCGGTATATCTAGTGTCATTTCTATATAGTAATAATATATCAGGGTTTATGAACCTAAAGATGTACGACCCAGTTATTCGACTAAGCTCAAATTTGTGTTTGATATGAAAAAAAATATTTTTCTAAAACATATTTTGTAGAAAAATAGCAAATAATTTTCTTACTTATTTTTGGTGTTTGGTTGGTGAGCGAATCCATTATCAATAGTGCCATTAGGGTAGGTATTATAAAGAATCACTCATCTTCTTCGATCTTCCTTAGACCTCAACAATCTTGTTGAGCTCTCCCATATTTAGTTGATGAGCAAAATATTTCTCACTAAATACTTGTAATATAAATTATAAGGAGATAAATAGTTAAAAACAACATTACAAAAATAGTTTCTTGTGCCCTCCCCACCTTATACAAGTCTGATGATGATGTGTTGAATATCAATTCAAGGGAGGTTGGGGTGGATTTGTAAAGAAGTATTCTTTACTGGTTGACAGTTTTAATTATTCAATAGTGAAAAAAAAAGAAGAGCTATAAACCTTAGTCCAATATATTTGGTCATAAAATGTGAGGAAGAAAAATGCTTGTTGCACGAACTCGACAATGTAAAAGCTTGTTTGACCAAGCTTCTAGGAAGCCAAAAGTATTTTTTTTGGGGGGGTTTGCATCTATATCTTCTTTTTGGGTCACGTTTTAACTTGTGCCCGCTTTGCAAAAAAATTTGCAAGCGTACCCACTTTTTCGCGTAACTTCAGCATACGGGGTTGAAGTAGCAAAGACAATCACACAAAACTTCAGCATTCTAGTAGACGGGCCTGAAGTAGCAAGTGTGCTGAACCAAGTGTGCTGAAGTTTTTATTTGTAAATTGCTGAACTTAAGCCTATTTGCTGAAAGTTTTTGTTTATAATTGCACTGAATAAGCTGAATTTTTTTATCCTGGATTCATTAGTTTTGTCATTAAGCTTTTTCAAAAACTTCAGCAGAAGATGCTGAAGTTATTTAGTTCATTTATAAAAACTTCAGCACTAAATAAGCTGAAGTTTTTTTGTCCTGGATAAGCTTTTTCAAAAACTTCAGTAGAAGATGCTGAAGTTATTTAGTTCATTTGTAAAAACTTCTGCACTAAATAAGCTGAGGTTTTTTTTGTCCTGGATTCATTAGTTTTGTCATAAAGCTTGTTCAAAAACATCAGCAGAAGATACTGAAGTTATTTAGTTCATTTGTAAAAACTTCAGCACTAAATAAGCTGAAGTTTTTTTGTCCTGAATTCATTAGTTTTGTTATAATCAGACTACTATAAAATAATCAGATTGCCAACAGTATCTAAATCATAAAATTTTGGGAACAAATAAACGTGAAAAGAACAGAATTATCATGAAAAGAATCGCTAAATGTGACCTTAAACTTCCCGTACGTGGAAATATTCACAAATTATTGTCTACTAACTTACGTAATTATTTATAATTTGTTTTTAAATAATCTGATAAACATACTTATGGCAATCATCCCATGAACTAAAGTTTCATAGCAGCACCGACAACAGCAGAAGAAAGAAGAAGAAGAAGAAGAAGAAGAAGAAAACGAATGAGGAGAAGGAGGAGAAAGGGGGCTGAAGTTGTTTAAAAAGTGGGTACAAGTTAAAACTTTTTTAAAAAATGGGTATAAGTTAAATGGGGGCGACCAAATAGGGCGCCCCGTGCAATTTTTACTTTTTTTGTCAAAAGAGTACTTTTTAAAAAATTTAAGGTGTTTGACCAAAATAAAAAAGTACTTTTGAACAGCAGCAGAAGCAGTTTTCTGCTTTTGGGGAGATCTTACAAATTCTAGCTTCTTCCAAGAAGTAGAAAATTAATTTGTTCAAGACAAAATAATCGTACAATAAATTTTATATTTTCAAATTATCCCTCATTAATTTAATATTTTTCTTTTCCTTTTTCCTTTCTACTATACATTTCTTCTCTCTTTTTTTTTTAATCATATTTTTATTCTCTTTCTCCTATTCCTAAAAGTAGATTTAAAATTTATGTAAATGATGTATTTTGACATATTTAAATATCGTGTAAACAATAAGTAATACCAAACACTTAATGTTATTGCTTTGGAATAACTATATTTTATATTGATTGAAAATTTTAATTTATATTTTTACTTTATGTTTTATATTTTACTCAAATTCTTTTATAATAAACTAGTCTTAGAGTACGCGCGTTGCGTGCGCAACTCATATCAACAAATATAAATTTTATAAAAATTACATAGATATTGTTATTGACAAACGTGTCTGGATTATTAAATAAAGATTATGAAAAATTTAAATTCCTAAAAAAATGATGAAGGTCAATTACATTCATCTAACTCGATAAAAGAAGATCTCTGCTCTACAAATACCTTATTATTTGGACTTTCGTTAGGGATAGAATTAGGTTCTCACGGTATCCTTTCTACGTAGGTTTGGTCACTATCATGATAAAGAGATTTACATGCTACTAAAATATTGTTACTTCTTTTAGCTCAATAGTGATTGGTAGTATTAACAACCATATATCGACACTATAAGAAACTACAACATTCAATGACAATACTTTTGAAAATATTTAATTAATATTTTCTTAAAAAGGAATAGCTTGAAATAACTACTATTTTGAACATTACCAACCTTAAATCCTTAAAATTTTAGCAATCTGAAAATAATCATGAGCTTCTGAGTATGATTTATGTACAATTTTCTTTAAGTTTCGTCTCTTGATATCTTGAAGTAAAACACTTCTAATATCACATGGATTATTATTGTTCTGTGTGAATTCCTAAAATTATGAGTTCTTGTGAAAATAATTTACTCCATTGGTATAAGTAATCTTACTTCGATTGCATTCCTAGATATTAGGAGTTCCTATATAGTTCAAATAAGAAAAAAATATAATAGTCAAAACTTTAGTTAATTTCAACATCTCAAATATTAGAAAATATTAATTAAACAATAATTTGTCCAATATAAAATTTATTTTTAAATGATAACAAAGTCGATCAATTTCACGTTGTAGTTTCGGGATTTTATAATAGTCTAAATTGATTGAAGAAGACAAAATTAAAAGAAAAGTGAAACATAATTTTTCCTTTATATTTAGTAGTTTTTAACTTGTCTCACATTATTTATCACATAATTAAATTATTTTGTTGCAAATACTAAATGAAGTAAATATTGCTGTTCAAAAAATTACTCATTAATGTTAAAAAATGAGTTTGTTCACCATAAATACAATACCGGTAGGATTTCACTTTCCAAATGCTTTGTAAAAACTACTTCAAACGAACTCTTTAAATTTTGTATTAATATTCCAAATAATTGACGTTTTAAACCTATGTTTAAGGTAAAATTTTAATCAATTTTTAAAGCCCTAAATTTTAGGCATCTAGTTTAAATAAAGAATGATTTAATAACCAATTTCAACGAATTTATAGGTCCTAAATATTAGGAAAGTAATTAAATGACTATTTTATCCAAGGTAAACCCTATTTTTAAAGTGTAAAAAAGGTAAACGACATTTCACGAAGGGGCTTCGTGCTTGTAATATTGTATATAAATGTTTAAATTTATTTTTCTTTTCTAAATAATACCAATCTCAAATTGAACCTTTACTGTGCTTTTTTCGTAATTTGATACCTAAAAGTGTTTTTTAAGAGATTGGCCAAACACAATGAGCTTGCAAAAATCACAATTCAAACGAATTGGCCAAACACGAACTGTTATTTTGTAAAAGTACTTTATTCAAAAAGTTCTTTTGAACAAAAACACTTTCCAAAATAAATAATTTTTGACAGTTTGGACAAACGGGCTCTAAATCTAAATTAATTGGGCCATTGAATTCGAATACGAGAAAGCTAAAAGAAAGAAAAAGAACTTCTACCAAATATAGTAAAAATTGTGTGGGGTAGCCACTTTTTAAAGTGGTATTTACTTTTTATCCAGCATTTTCAATGCTTAGCAATAGTAGCCACTAGTCTATTCAAATTATTATGAAAAAACTGTGTTACCCTTTCTTCTATCTCTTTCATGTTAGGGAGAAGAACCGTGCCGCCGTCTGTGAGACGGCGACTGTCGTGGACTCCGTAACTTATCAGTAACTTATTATGTTCATCACTATCGCACTCTTTATCATCCTCATCCTCTGTATTCTCAGAATCATCATTAGACAAATTATCTTGGGACACTAAATCGTCGTCACTTGTATTTTCATCAGACTAGTAATGAAAAGGCTATGTAGATTTGTCTTATCAATGTTGCATCCAAGCCGAATCTGACATCAATCTTATATGTAAATTGCAATTATTATTATTATTATTATTATTATTATTATTATTATTATTATTATTATTATTATTATTATTTGTGAAAATATACAAATAACGTTTGGTTTTCTGCTACGTTATGGATCCTGAACTTACAGTTACAAGTTCAAAAGTTAAGGACACTTAGTCCTGAACTTCGAGTTCCAAGTTCAAAAGTTAAGGACACTTGGTCCTGAACTTAGAATTACAAGTTCAAAAGTCAAGGACACTTGGTCCTGAACTTAGACTAACAAGCTCAAAAGTTAAGGACAATAGGTCCTGAACTTACAGTTACAAGTTCAAAAGTTAAGGACAATAGGTCCTGAAGTCCTGAACTTAGATTAACAAGCTCAAAAGTTAAGGACAATGAACTTAGGCTAAGAAGCCCAAAAGTTAAGGACAATAGGTCTTGAACTTAGACTAACAAGCTCAAAAGTTAAGGACACTTGGTCCTAAACTTACAGTTACAAGTTCAAAAGTTAAGGACACTTGGTCCTGAACTTAAACTAACAAACTCAAAAGTTAAGGACAATAGGTCCTGAACTTAGACTTACAAGTTCAAAAGTTAAGGACAAGTAGTCCTTAACTTAGAGTTACAAGCACAGAACTTAAGGACAGGTGGTCCTGAACTTCGAGTTCCAAGTTCAAAAGTTAAGGACATATAGTCCTGAAGTCCTGAACTTAGAGTTGCAAGTTCAAAAGTTAAGAACATGTAGTCTTGAAGTCCTGAACTTAGAGTTGCAAGTTCAAAAGTTAAGGATACTTGGTCCTGAACTTTTATGAGCAGAAGGGTGTTTTCGTCCGGACAGGTAAAGTTTATTAAAGCAGTGGTTAAAGACTAAAGACACTTTAAACAGTGGCTTAAAAGTAAATACATGTGTTATTAGTGGCTAAAAGTGCACTTCCCCAAATATAGCCAGACAATACCAATATTCTGAATCCGCTAATAATAAGTTCACTTATTGGAACACTTGTAAACATTGGAATCCTAAGCAATAACTTCTGGGACATAGGTGGAGTCAATTGAACTTGGAAGCGGTGCATCATTGCAAAAGAAATGGATCAGATACCGGGTAATGGGGTGAGTCGGGTCTAATTTAAAATTAAATGGACCAACATCCTTGAATGCGTGCCAAGTGTTGTCAAGTGTCCGATCCGTCAAGTGAGAGGTATATGTGTTTGAATAGTAAAACGGCAGGGGTTCTTTTGATCCAATAGTATAACGGAGGGTAATTTTAAACAATTTATGCGTGTGTATTGGGGGGGGGGGGGGGATTAACCAACCAAACCTTGGATGAGTTGGGCGAGTCATTTGAGTGTGGGTCAAATTTTACAACCTTAGATGTGCCTACACCCAGGACCAAAAAATTAAATCATCGATATCAATAAGTAGTATATCAAAAAACAAGGAATAATATAAATCAGTTACTGGATGTTATTATAATTGTGATATTCGGATCAACTTGCGCATCTTAACCAACTAACCTCCCACAAACACATATACTAACAACTTTGTCCACCGAGATTTGATGAGTTACAATCTTTACAAGATCAAATGATTTAAATGCCAAATGATTACTATTACAAGTTAAAATAGTACCTTGAAGATAAATAATTACTGTTGGTTAAGTAATTCTAACATTATCAATTACAAGGATACTTAGAAAAAAAGGTAATCTAGTACCAGATCAGATTCTGGTGACAGAAAATTTTGTTGGTATATACGTATAAAATTAGAAAAAGAAACATATACTAACATCTAACATGTAATAAAGCGGCAAGAAAAAACGATTGCAATACAGTGGTGGACCAACACCACCCCCCTAAACAATTAAGTAGTATGTAACTTTGATTCTCAGTCTTATCCCAAACAAACAACCAGTCCACTGTCTCAGTCCATTCTTCTTACTCTTTCTTAGTACCCTTCATTTGGGGAATTAGGGGTCTTATAGAATCTCCATAGATATCTTTAATCCTCTCTATGTAAAGTAAGTTGGCAAATTTTCTGTTCATTTTCTTGAATTTTTTAGATGGCTTTGTATACAATCTCTTATTGTTTTGTGCTTTTAAGGTAATAATTATAGAGAATGGATGCACCTAGACGAACAGACGCAGTATCTACATCAATTTCAGATAATGGTCCTCCTCCTGCTTCTCCAAGTACATCACAGGTTAGTGTGGTTTTACACTTTTACTGCTGTGGCTGCTCAATATAAAGTTTTTTTTTCTTCTCTTCTTTGTTCAGCTTCAGGTGGTGCTTTTAGTATCTGGATTCATATGTTACCATTGTGCATAAAAGCTTTCTTTTTTAATCAGTTGTAGAGTATAAATATATACGAGTGTGTTTAATATATGTACTCTCTCTGGATGTGTTTGGTATGAAGAACCAATTTTCCCATATTTGGTGGCTTAAATATTTTCTTCTCGAACTCATATTCCTCCGAAATATTTCCCATTAACTCTTTTTTAACCTTCCCCACCCTATTTCCCACCCCTACCCCACCCCTTATGCGCCCACCCCCACCCTCCACCCCCTCCACCCGACATTACCACTGCCACTCAGGCCCCTAGACCCAGACCTACCACCCTCCCGCGACCCGCCCTTACCCATTTCGTTTCATATAGGTTTGCCTAAATTACATAATTTTCAAAAATATTTTCTACTACCTAACCAAACACGGAAAAATAAGTAAGAAAACCACTTATTTTCCAAGAAAACATTTTCCAAGGAAAATACTAGTATTTTCAAAGAAAACATTTTCTTCATACCAAACACACCCTCTATCTCAAATTGTTTGGTACTCACTGTTTAGGAGACCAAATCGTGTTTTCTTAGACTACCATCTTTTAATAAAATTTGATTGTTTTTTAATTTAAGAAGTTGTGATTTCTAAAACTTTTTATGTGGCATACCGAAAAAAAGAAGCGACTACCTTACTTAAGCAATTCTTCTTATTCTTATTCTTTCTTTGTAGTTCCTACCCAAACAAAAGGGCAACTCGTGCATGAAGCATCCGCATTACGCATAGAGGCGCACCTAGGATTTGAGTATCACCGGGGCACCACTTTAAAAATAAAATAAAAAAATATAAGTTGTAGGAGTCCAGATTCGAACCTGGGTCATCAAGAGAGTGTAGGTACTTAAGCACTCCTACGAACCAGCGTCTTTGTCCAGTTTTTATGCTTTGGGGGTGGGGGGTGGGGCGTAAAATATTTAAGGGGTCCTCACTATATATATATATATATATATATATATATATATATATATATATATATATATATATATGAAAATATATATATAGTTTTTTGCTGAGGCTAACGGGTTTCGGTTACCCCTCCCCCCAATGTAGGTCTGCCCCTGGTTACGCACCCCAAGGAGGTGTGATATAGGCATGCTACCCTAATGTGAATGGTTGATTCCACGGATCAAACCAGTGACCTGTAGGTCACACGGAGTCAACTTTATCCTCACTCCGAGGCTCCCCTTCTATGTAGTTTCCAAATATGTAATTTTATTTAAAAAAGTGAGATGGATGTCCGAATTCACACGAAAGATTAGATGAGTTGACTCTTCATATCCCTATGCTATTCTTTTTTCGGGATGAAGGAGTATTATGTTAAATTTTAGGTTGTGTTTTAAGTAGATAACTTTTCTAAAGCTTCAGGAAATGCAGGCTTCTTGGTTTCGAGAGGTAGTGCTTTCCTCATTTTATTTAGGTGCCTACTAATGTATGAAATATGCACAACTTTTTGGATGATAATTTATTTCTGAAAAATGTTAAGAGTTCTTGTTTATGGGGATTGAGATTGTCAATGCAATGGTATTCTATGCTACTTTTAGTGATTTTACGTTACATTATGGCATTTGATAGGGGTATAGTTCTTGCTAGAGAAATCTCTAGTGACATTGGAAAGAAGTGCGATTGTAGAATGTAAGACCTTTTGAAGGCTTTTTTTTTGTGTGCTAGGAAGATATATGTGAGAGTGTCCGTGCGTGGATATTCTTTGAAGTGCACAATGAAGGATATTTTTGCATTAGTTCTGTTTTTACCATTATCTGGCATCTAGATGAAGGATAGTTCTGGTCTGATGGTCAATGATAGATCTAAGAGACTTTTACTTAATAGTACTTTACTTTAAACATTGTATAATTTCTTGCAAAGTTCCGAAAATAATTTCACAAAAGCCATGATCCAAAAAGTCCTTTCTTCTTCCAACTTTTCGATCTTCCCATTCATCCCCTGTGTGTCTTTCTTCCCCGGTTCTTCCCATTTTTTGGGTTCTATGAGGCCTTGAGCGTCAGTTAAGAATGTTTTTTCTACTTTCAAGTGTTATCTGTCTTTAAAATTTATGAAAATATTTTCCAAAGGGAAGTGTTTGTACATCACATAAGGAAGTAGGATGATAGTCCCTTTAACAATGCTTCATATAACTTGCTCCGACCACTTACAACTATCACCAAGCATAAAAATACTTCTACCGCTACTGCATGACACTAGCATTACTCTCAACTAATCCTGAATATGATTTGTAAAAGGTTTTGCAGGAAAAATAAAAACGCTTTACATTTAACCAACTGATGCCTCTAACCAGGAGAATATAAAATTAGGTAGTTTTGTGTCTCACCTGTCTTTCTGAATGTTACCATAAGCTATGTTACTCAGAGTAGAGAAATTAACAAGTGTGCAATTACATAAAGTTAGAAGTTCGGTGGCAATACTACCACATGTTACAAGAGATTCTTTATCTTTTGGGTACATGCAGGCTGATTTTCAGACAACGGAATCCTCTAGTATGGTTGCCGGTTTGGGCCCAAGCATGAAACGAGCAGATCTTTCCCTTCAAATACCTCCAAAACATGCAGGTTTTGGAACTGGAATTGGCAGAAAGTATTCGCCCCATTCACCAGGTCCTAGAGGAGGTTTTCTTCGGGCTTTGAGCTTTAAGAAGAAAGTTGCTTCATCTGACGGTGAGAGAAGCTCTCTCCTCAGTTCAGATCATAAGGTAGTTCCAGGAAGCCCACTTTCAGCGCACTTCTCCTCCTACAATTGGCAAAAATGTACCTCTTTACCTGTGACCCCTGCTTCAAATTCATCTCCATCAGTTTCCACGCCTATTTCGGCTAGGACACATGGTGAACAACAAAAGTCACATGTGAGTTTCTTTTGTTCATTAACAATTATGCACTTTTAATAGTTTCTAATAAATTCAACTTTGTCAGACAACTTCGAAAGTTTGGTATGTGTAGACACAGAAATAATAACAAATTATATTGTACTGATTATACTATGCAACGATTTAGGTTATATCCTCAATGTTCTTGCATCCGATTTAGGTTATATCCTCAATTTATTTTTATATAAATATCTGGTCTGACAAACTTCAACAGATAATCTAATGTTTTGTATACAACGTGCCACTCACATCAACCTGTTGATCCTTGTGTTAGTCATGCTTTGTCATACACAATAAGGCAGGAATTAATGCCACAGAAAAAGCAATAGTATTTTGGAAGCTGACCTCAAGCTGTTGTATGTTCAATTATCTAATTGCCAAGAAGATCTACTGTTCATTTTAAATGTTTAGGAACTCACTTTTGAAAGGAATTGTAATCTAGAGTTAATCCTCTTTCCTTCCACTCGCTGGAACCTTCTACCAGTTATGAGGCCATTAACGTATTAGATGTTTCCTACTTGTAATGATAATAGCTGTTAAATCCAATGGTTTCTCTACTTTCCATGTACACTAACTCATGTCTGTGACTTGTAATTCTGCTTGCAGTCATCGCGGATTGGGGCATCCAAAGCTAGCATGTCAAGGTCTCTTTCTGTGCCTGGGAGAAATTTTGTCATTGTTAGATCAATGTCCTTTGCTACCCATGAAGAGCATGTTCCAGATACTGGAGATGGTAAGTCAAATGTGTTTAAGCTGTGTGCCTGAATTATCAAAAAATAGTGTACCATGCTTAATCAAGTCAAACTAATTATGAAGCTGTATGATGTTAAACTTATCCTTATTCTACTGTATTCATCACAAATATTTAGTGAGGCCTTCCAAGTAAATAAGTGATCGCTGATACAGCCTTTTGGCCGCTAAGAAATCAATAATGTAAAGTAACCATTTCTTCACAGACGTGTTACTATCTAATCCAACTCTGGTCTTTACTGGTTTATAAAATGATTTCTGTTATAAGCTGATTAATGAGTCCCATGCATCTGAATATTCATTCTTCTCCTGAATCAATTGAAAAAAGTGTTTCAAAATTTTTAGTGACTTCTATTTCCTAGTGTATTCGAAAATTCTATAGTAAGCTGTTGAAAATGTTATGATTAATATTTGACTTTTCCACTGTTTCGACGCTTCAAAAATTGATTAAAATGAACAAAGAAATTACTCCTGCTCCTGAGAATGAGGATAGGGAAATCCCTGAAGAGGAAGCAGTTTGTAGGATCTGTCTGGATGCATGTGATGAAGGCAATACGTTCCAAATGGAGTGCAGCTGCAAAGGTGACCTAAGACTTGTTCATGAGGACTGTGCGATCAAGTGGTTTAGCATGAAAGGGAACAAAACTTGTGATGTTTGTCGACAGGAAGTTTCTAATTTACCTGTGACTTTGCTTCGGGTCCCAAGTACTAGTCAACGAGATAACAGACAGGACAACAACTCTAGAAGAATAAGGTGAACATCACGTGGAAAATACGATTTCTTTCACACAGTTGTGTTACACATTCTAAATTTTTCGTAGATTTTGCATTGATTGTTCACGTTTGCCTGGTGAGATCTGAAGAAGTTCTGTCTCCAGTCTCTGTTTGATCCTTTAAATTGGTGCTTCTTCAACAACTATCTTCATTTAATATTAAAAAGTAAATTCAATCCTTAGTTGTGAATACTGGGAAGAAGCTAGCTGATGATGGAGCAGCATTCTGTACAATGTTGTTGATCTAGTTTCTCAGCTACTGCGTCTGTTTTCGGAGTCTAATCAAAATTGGAATTTCTGTAATTGCAGTGCTTGGCAGGACTTTGTGGTGCTTGTTTTGATCAGCACAATATGCTATTTCTTCTTCCTTGAGCAGTTACTGGTGAGTTTTTTAGCTTCTAGATTGATTTTCTTGTTGAAAAGGTAACATATTTGTATATAAATAAAAAGACTACACATAAACTGTGGGGTCATCCATAATTACAAGGTGAAGCACAGGAGAAGCTCTTCCTAATCCTTTTCTTCTCATAACGATTCTAATACATCAAAAATAGATTCATAATCTTCTAAGTATTCTTCTTTACACCAAAAATAAAATAGAACTAAATATTTCATTTTCATCTTTTGGACGTTGCTGGATCTATCGTCAAAGCATTTTCGGTTTTTTTCTTCCCAAATTGTCCATGTAAAGATATGGTACTTGAACCTAGCTCAACCCCAAAAGCTAGCTCATGAGGAGAGGATTGCCCAAGTCCATATAAGGAGACCATCAGTCTATTCCCCGATCAACGTGGGACTTTTCCCCACTCTAACACCCCCTCGCACGCACAAACCACCAACTGGAGCGTGCACGATATATCATAGTGGCCAAACGGGAATGGACTTGGCTCTAATACCATGTAAAGATATAGCACTTGGACCTAACTCAACCCCAAAAGCTAGCTCATGAGGGGAGGATTGCCGAGTCCATATAAGGAGACCATCAATCTATTCCCTAATAAACGTGGAACTCTTACCCGCTCTAACGGTCTAGATTGAATTTCATCCTAATTCTTCTAGATTGAATTTTAGAAATAACTTTGGCTTGAGATTTCATCCCCCCCCCCCTCCCAAAAAAAAAAAAAACAACTGTCGGAACATAGAAAGGTAAAATCCTGTGTATCTCGGAAATACTTATTTATCTGACCCTTGGATGCCCTCATTTCCGGTTCAGCTGCTTGTTTATCCAAGACTTGGATAGGAGTAAATGAATAGGGTCTTTTGGTAGTGTTATTGTACTGAGTGCCACCAGTTAAATTGATCAGGTTCTTATCTGAGCCACCATCCCGCTTCCTTTGCCATAAAATTCAGAAAAGCAGGCAAACCATAATGTGTCCCCGTGGGGGTGGGGGTGGGGTGGGGGAACTAGGATTTATTCGTGAGAACGAAAGTTGGAGGAACTTATTGGAACAATGGTACAAACTAGTGGTTACTTGGGTAAAAGGCAATAATGTGAAATTCCTTCTTTTCCTTTTTTTTTTGTTATTTTGTTTAGGGGGGAGTTGTGCTTCTGTGTATGCTTGCATCGCAGGTAACTGAGGGGGCAGAAGAGGCAAACTTCCTATCTCTTAACCTGTACGGATGACACCAGAGTTCGAGAATTGTAAGAAGTTTGAGTAAGAGGAGAGGCAGTCAAGAACCTTCTTAGATGATTGCATATTATGCAGACACATTCTCAAAAATGGAGATGATTGAATAAGTGGAGATAGCATAGTAGTAAGATTCTCTAGCTCCAACCATGAGGTCTGGTTTTCGAGTTAGTGAGGGAGCAAAGTGGGTAAAACCATTGCTTGGTTCCTATTGGATTGAGGTTTACCGTATCCAAGAAAAAGAGAGAGGATTGTGAAGCACAGTTGGCTGACATGGTGCCTCTTAATAAAGCATGGCCCATAATATTTTTATTTTATTTCTTTATTTATTTATAATAAGCTCCCACTGAGCCTGGTTGGGATGGATGAATGATGGAAACTTGTATTTCTATTCAAGGTCCCTTTAGAACATAAGGCAGCCCAGGTCTCTGTCTGCATCTTGTTATTCCACTGTGCTATTTCATTCTGTCACGCCTCAAGAGCTATGATGCTAGGTCCTCTGTCCTAAGAAATAATTGAGCTCGGATTTTTGAATAGCTCGAAAATGAAAAATTACAGCAGAATATATTCTAGACGAGTAAAGCAAAGTGCAACTATGTGGCATTTCTTTCGTTTTCCCCAACTTGGTTCCATAATGTTGGAAAAGCTTAAGATGTCCAACAGTTCCTCTATCTCAGTGTTGTCTATTCTTCCCTTGTGATGCATTCCAAAGCAATAATTTTTCTCCAATATATCGTCTCTGCATAATTGTTTTGTTGCCTCAGAAATTAGACCATTATCTTGGTCCTTTTATGTAACATTTCATTACAGTTTAAACTACTAAACATAATAAAATTGAGCATAATTTTCCATTGTACTCTTTCATTTGGTTAGTTGTCTAATAAACACCTTGCTTAGAAAGCAAAAAAAGGTCATAAAGTTTTATAAAACAATAATTTGAAGAATTGATTACTTTTCCTTTCTCAATTAAAAACATTAGTGCGTGTGCGCACCTGCTGTCAGCTGCACTTTGATGTCAGCATTGGAATGGAATGCACATCCATCAGCTTTTATATCTTTTGCCAACTCTTAAGTAGAAAGGTGGAGTTTGATGACGCCAACTACGTGGAATATTATCCATCAACTTTTATATCTTTTGCCAACTCTCAAGTAGAAAGGTGGAATTTGATGAAGCCAACTACGTGGAATATTATCCATCAACTTTTATATCTTTTTCCAAGTCTTAAGTAGAAAGGTGGAATTTGATGACACCAACTACGTGGAATCTTATCTTTTTATTTTATTATTTGTGGAATTCGGAAACAACCTCTCTACCTTCACAAAGGTAGGTGTACGATACTACCTGTGGGATTTCACTGGTTATGTTATTATTGTTGTTGTTGGAATTCATATTTAAAGTCAGTCTCTTGAAGGTTCATGACATGAAAACTCAGGCGCTTGTGATTGCTGCACCACTTGCGTTCACACTAGGTCTTTTGGCATCTATTTTTGCTGTCATCCTAGGTACGTTTGAGCCCCTAAATTTTATTTATCAACTACTTGCTGACTTGCGTTATAGAATTTTCATTTGAAATGCAGCTATTAGGGAGTACATATGGACATATGCCGCTCTAGAGTTTGCTCTTGTGGCCATTACCCTACATGTTTTCTACTCTATGGTAAGATGCATTCTCTATTATGCAGTTGATATTTGATAACTCTTAGATATTTTCTAGTCTGTCCACCCGTGTCTTCTTTAACCATAAAAAATTTCTAGATGAAAAAGTCTTAACGTTAAAAGATGCACCAGATTCACAACTCATGCATGAATCCCCACCCCAACCAAACCCAATGCGGAAAAGAAAAGGTCTAAGAAAATTATACACACACACAACACTTTTGGCAGATATGAAATGAGGAGTAATGCCTGGAAATCTTGTCTTTTGGCAGCTTCAATTGCAGGCAGTCTATTCAGTAATGATAGCATCAGTATTGGGTTTTGGTGCTTCTATGAGTCTCAATGCAATGTACATTCGATACTATTCCTGGCGAGTCCAAATCTCCGAAAATTCTAACCCTGCATGAAACGAGTATGATGATGAAATGTTCAAGTTGTATAGGAAATATTGTATATGCTTCTTTTCCACCTTAAAGATGTATTTTCTTCGTATTATTTTCTCTTATTTCTTTTCCTCATCATCTTATGTGATGAGGTGGTTGATACCTCAAGAAATCTGGCAGTCAAATGTGTATACCGATATAGGTAAAGTAGTTATCCCTTGTCTTCTTTCTGTCTCTAGTGCTAGAGAATAGAGCTCAATGTAAGGTTGGGACGGACATTATCAAATTCTAAAGCACTGGTTCTACCCTGGTTGATCTGATCAGGTTTCTTATTTCAACTATCATTGTTGTTTTATTCCATTTTAGGCCTGGTGTTATTTACCAGGTACTGCAAACCATGTAAATTTTTTGCCATTTTAAGAGCCAAAAAAAGGACCCTCATTTGGGGTTTCATTATGTTAAGCTAGGGTTAGTGCGCAGAAATATAACCTGCCCAACTTGGAATATACTCACTGGTCTGGTAATTAAACAAATTATAGAATGTAATAAAGTGTTGTAATGTTTTGCGTTGGACAAGTTGAACTATGACATATTGTTTGAATCAAATTGACCTAGCCATTTTGATTCACACTTTAATTGAATCATGACTGAACTTATTTGTTGGTTCCATTTATTTATCTTCAGAATTAGCCCACCTGACCTATTTGACACCTTATGTCAAAGATGGCTTGTAATGCTGGTCATTAATGGAGCAAACTGGACATATCTGAAGCAACAAACCAGTCATCCAATTCCCATTAATAATATTTGTCATGAAATTGACCATATGAAAAGAGAAAAAAAAGACCATATGACATTTGAACCACAGTAGATGAAAAATTGCAGGCATCTAACTTGAATTATCTTTTTTGGATATCCATTATTAGTTGGAAATCTGAAGCCAGTTCAAGATCCAACAGGACAAGTTTTCTGAAAAATAAACGTGGAGGTAGAAATTATATAGCACAACATTGCATGAGAGAAGACTAAAACACTATACATTAAAAACAAATTAAATTTACAGATAGCTACACTTATGATACAAATGCCTCTTAAAGGAATGCATACGCCACTGTTTTAAAAGACATTTATTTGCATTTTGCAACAGCGAGGTATTGATTGTTATTTTTCTTCACCCATACCATTGAAGGAGTTCTCTTAATATAATCTGTGACAAATAAGGTTGGTTAAATAAGGATATACATCTTCATATCAGCAACTAAAATTCGGAGGCAAATGGGATTTACTTGTTGCACTGCACTACTTATCAACAAAAATCAGATTAGATTTCCCATCCACACATTCACGCACCCAAACTTGTCGTCATCAGTTGAATTAAGAAACCACCTGTCAAACTATCCCATTCAATAGGAGCTCCGAACTATATAGTGTTGATCCTGTAGATGTAACAACGGATTGCATGATTATCCAAATTTTATTACAAAACTTCTTATTGATTTTACAAGGCAAAAGAATAAGAAATCTATCTTTCTCAAACATCATAGTCTTCTTCACAAGATAAAACTAGAAGATCAACTTCCTCTTTCATAACAGATCTACCAAGTCACTCCACTGCCTGAAAAACATTTGGAACAGGCGTTACCAAGCACGAAAAAACCATCAATAAAATAGTTATAATTATGGAGAGAAGATTGTTCCTGAAAAAATACAGATTGAATATATTGATAAACACTACTAACTTCAAATTATAGGAATTCCAAAATATTTGATGTACTTTTACACATAACTATAGAGTATAAGTTTCAAGAATTCAAATCTGTCCATCTTTAGTGTAGATTATAATCCTATCAACGAAACCTTTGGTTACAAATGTTTGCTTCAGCTAGCGTAAGTCAAACTACTGATCTTTTTTTCTTCTGAAAATGGAAACAAAGTATTCATCAGCATTAAGGAAATGCTGGCCGTCCTATCTACAGATCAAAGTCAAAACTAACGAGGATCTTAATATTCAAAAAAGTCAAACTAATGATCTTTAACATGTCATTACTTATCACCTATGTTACCATGGACATCATCTTGAGCACACACTCAAATATATGATATTCAACATATTTAATAAGGCTGGTTCTAATCTTTCAAAACTAATCATGTTGCATTATAGCGGATAGGAAGTCTACAATCTTAGAGAGAGAAAAAATATATCCCATGTATTTGACTAACTTTGCATTTATTTAATCTTACGGCACCCCCTTCTCATCCTAAAGAAAAAAAAAAATAGTACTCCCTCCGTCCCACTTTATGTGATGAAATTCGGAGTACGAGGGGTCAAATTATTTTTTTGGTGTGAATTCGAGCATAGGATCTTCAAGTTTTTTGAAATACAATTAACATATTTAGAAACTACATAAAAAAAAAAAAAAAACTATAAGTCACAATAATAAAATATTTAAGACATTAAAAAGGCATTGCAGTCAAAGAAAAGTCTTTTGACTCTCCGAATTATAACTGCATCACATAAGGTGGGAAAAAGGGAGCAGCAGTCTTGCTTGAAGAGTTCCCTCTCTGTACAATGGTATCAATATAAATAGTGCTATAACTTAAAAAGCACAAATAAAAGAAGTAACATCTCAAACTTTTCATTCAAAAGATACAACAGAGTACACTGTATCACACACTTATTTGATTATAAATCCAAATTTGAGCATACGTTCTCTTTAATTCTTTAGCAGTTAACTAACAATTGACCATGGCTAGTCAATACAACCACGTCACAGCAATTTCAATCTGCTTATAAAATCAAACTCCTAGTAACTTTATAATGCAGCAAAATTTTATATAATAACAGGCGTCAAATCGTTAGGTTTCTAATAAAATTACACAAAAATATATATCTTGATTCGTAGTTTTTATTTAATACTATCATATAAATTAGACATAAGAGTAATATATAGTAGTATCAATTATGGATCTTGTTTTTTTTTTTTTCAAAGAAAAATATTTACTTTAATGCTCTTGCTGTAGCAGTATTTTTATTTTATTTTTTGCAGTAAATGTATTTCAACTATTTTTAAGGCCATGATTTTTATGGCTTGCGAGCATTTACTGTATATTCTCTTAACAAAAAGGAAAACAAAGGCTTGTTTCACGTCCAACTAAGAGAGGTAAAATAGGTTGGATTTGCTTCTTCATTAGAAGTTATAAAACATGTAATTATATATATTAATCTGAAAGGAAAATAATTAGTTGTATGAAAAATATAGAAATTAGGGGGGGCATTCCGAGAATCGAACTCGGGACCTCTCGCACCCAAAGCGAGAATCATACCACTAGACCAAATGCCCATTTTCTCTTCAAGTCCAATTATTTATCATATTGAACATGTGTGGTAATCGATTTTAGATGTATCATCAACTTTTGATCTTGCTTGGAGTGGTCATTGTAGTGTTATCTTTTATGGAAATATTTCTAGCAAGCTTGTGTTAGACTTTGATTGGATAACGGTAAGCTAATTGGCTTTTCTGATTATATTCGGCACGCTACTCGTTGTTAGTTGCTTGATTATTTCTTTGATTGTAGTGCTCCTAATTCATTTTTCTTCTTCTTTTTCTTTGTCGCACTCCCTTATATCATTTTCTGTGTAATTTTAAGAAAACTTGTCATGTATAAGAGCGATCATAATTAATATAATAAACTCGAGTTTTTTTTTTCTTTTGAAAATCGAGAAGTTTGTTTGCACAATGAATGTAGTGCATCAAAACACTAACTTACAATGTTGAAACACAATTTTAACTAAAAAAGGAATAGTATGGTATCCATGTAATAGCAGAAGCAGAAACCATCACCACAAATATTGTGTACCTCCTTGAGCTATTGACAAAAATGTAATTTCCAAGGCAGGGTAAGTTGCTAAAAATCTAGTCATATTCAAACTGAACAGCAATCTTCAAATACTTCCTCATTAGCCTTACAATAAAGGATGTGAATTTGGCTAATCTAATATTGTGAAATGGATAGGATCCCTCAACTCTTAACCAAAGATCTCGGGTTCGAGCCCATATCCTTGAAAAAAAGTATCTTTTTTATAGCTAACTCATGTACCTATACTAAAAATATAGTACACCTTGGCTTGGAAACAATAAAGAAACCATGATTACTTTTCACTGTTTCACATCTAATATTAGCAATGTAATACTGAACTGTGAAGTAAGAAACCAGAGGAGCTAAATTCAGGACTTAAACATAACATTCAACTGGTAACAAGGCAATGAGCAACCATTACTCATAATTTAGCTGTTCACAAAAGCTATATCAGTTCAAACAAAGACTATTAAAATAAGTGCAAAGGCATAGCCTGGGGAGCATTTCAGCAAATGTATCCAGAGATATAAACTAACTCCTGTGCAAAACCCTTCACATTTGGGGCTAGGATATAAACTAAGAAAAGATAAGTTAATAAGCATGACCATCCTGTACAAATATCTTCACATTTTGGGATAGGATAAATAAAGAGAAGCTAAATGCTGCTTCACGTCGCCTCTGTTCAGTCTGTACAAAGTAAATAAACAGGCATTGCTGCTGGATCGAGCTCCCAGAAACCTCGCACGATGCCACCTCTCTCTTCTGTCAGGCGAAAAGCAGGAATTTGATGAGAGAACCTGAGTTGCTCGGCTAGAGATATTTTCACTGTTCCATTTGCCTCTTCTTTCACTTGAGGCTTGTAGACAGACTTGAAACCGTTTACCCGTATTAAGAACTTTACGGATATGTACTTATCAGTAACATCCACAACTTCAACAATTTCATACTCACAATCTTCCAGTTTGTCGCATTTCAGCTGAGCACTCCAGTTTTTATAAACTGCCCAAACTTCACCTGCTCTGGGGAAGATCTTGTAGACACCCTTCTTCTCCATAGATTGTGCTCCTACTTGATGCGAAAAAGCATTGGTTTCCGTATATTTGTGCAGCTTTCTATTTTGAAACTTTAACATTCCACAACCAATTGGCATTGTTTTATCACGCCACTGTATTATGCCTTTCGGTGGCAGACAGGCATAAAGCCATGCCACATGCAACATAAAATTAGGGATAGGATCTATCTTCTGTATCTGGCCATAGTACCTCGGCATGGCATCTTCATCACTGTAAATTGCCCAAAATTGACCAACTTGAAACTTCTCCTCTGATCTCTCAGCATCAAAGTTGTAGAATTCGGGTTCAGGAACCTCATTAGCTACTGATACAACACAGTTTTCTGCAGAATTTACCAAACTCATGCGATTGTACGTCATACGGTTAGCTGTCTCTCTTTGGTCTAAGGAAAAATTATTTCTTATGTTAATTCTGGATCGTCTATCAGCAGGATGTGCATTTCCTTCAGATTTCCCCTTCAGATCAACAGAAGATGTATCTCCTTCGGATTTTAGCTTCATTTCCACCCCATCTGCAGGAGATAAAAGGCCGTGAGGCTTAGCATCCCGTCGTTCCATCCTGTCTACAGTTGATGTATCTTTATCAAACTTCTCCATCGGTTCTGAATTAATTGCAGAAACCGGATAGTCTTCAAACCCTGCGTTTGATTTTGGCAAAGAAGGTGCCTCTTGTCTCACCCTCTTTGCTGGAGATCTAGGACAAGAGACATCATTGTATGCATTCCCATGCTCGACATCAAGATCTGCAGACACAGAAATGCCTAGTTGGTCAATGGGTAAAGAAGCAGGGTCTAGTTCGAAGGATCCTTCAGGAACATTATTCCTCTCCATGCCTGTCATCTTAAACGAAGGAACTCTATGAGAGAATCTAAATATCTCCTTGGCAGGAATTAGAAACTGGCCCCTTTCCCCTAATTTTTTTGCAGCTCGATGAAAAAGACAAGTGAAGCCTTTTACTTTACCCAAGTATGCAACATGAACACCAACATCATCAGCATAGTCTGACAACACCTCAACAAACTCGTAATTGTACTTTTTCTTGCTCTCAATATGAGAATAACATTTCATATCCCAATCTTTAAAGATCGCCCAAGTTTCTCCTTGCCGTGGAAATATCTTCATCGTATTGGAACAGCTGCTTTCATTTTTTGGACATGCCAAATGTGAGAACATAGGATGATCTTCAGCGAATTCTGAGTTTCCCAGTTTGAACCTACCACAAGAAGCTGGAAAGCCCTCAGATAGCCATTTGGTTCCATTTTTATCCAGCGGATCGGGCTCTAACCAAGTAATGTGCAACTTAAACGCAGGAGAGAAAATCTTCCTGATGACTGCATAGAATCTCGGCATGGCATCCAGAGTATCATAAACAGCCCATACTTGTCCAACCTTAAAGCAAGATTCCTCCCTATCCTTTTCAAAATCACTAAAATCTGGGTCTGGATATTCAAACGTTTCTGGCTCAGTCATATTAGAAGCCCCTAGATCTGAGGGAAGATCAAAGGTTTGTCCACCGCCTTTTTCAGGTACACCCGCTCTTGCATTTGCATTCTCAGCTTCCTGCTCTGTGTTCGGCAAGTACTCTTCAGAGGAAAAACTTTCCTTTAATTTCTTATTTTCCCCATTGGAAGTTGCTGCCTCAGACAAATTTTGAGCCGAAGGGTCTTCTTCTTCACCACTTAGACTCGTACGGTAAGTGACACGCTGTCTAGACCGAGTAGATCTTCGCCGGTTCTGCTCACTGAGACATTGAGAGTTCTGCCTAGGCGGATGATCACACTCTTCAATATTTATATCGTCTTCAGAATCTATGCTCGTTGATGAATCACAATTTTCACTAGATTCTGCTGATATCTTCTTTCTCTTTGTGTTTTTCCTTTTATATTCCCCTGATAAGCCCTCGTTCATTTTTCCATATGCATTTTCTGAGTTTCCGTTGCCATTAGACTCCTGACCAACCTCTGAGGGAAGCTCTGACTGTATAAATTCATCAGCAGCCTTCTTCTGACAACTTCTCATGGTTGCAGAGCTCATACGAGTGTATTGGGAGCTATCTTTAACATGATCTTGGTTTGTTGTACCATTCTTCTTGGAAGCAGGCTGACTCCTATTGGTTTCTGGTGTTGCATCTGAAGCATTTACTTCATGACCTGTGTAGGACTTTTTACAGTTCTGACACCACAAAAGCTTATTCAACATGGTCTTATAATACTTATACTTAACAGAACAGAATGGACATACAGTCCAAAAAGTTGGTTGGCTTCTAGGCACTCCTGATTGAGTGCCGTGCTGATTCATGAATTCTGATTTGACACTGAACTTGTTTTGTACCCAAGGATGTGACCTGATATCTGGCTGGCCGCAGCTTGTTTGCTGCATTGGTACTTGAGATCTTCCTGAAGGAATGCGCCTACTGTTATACAACATTCGTTTTTCTCGATCCAAAAGCACCATTTGAGCTTCACCAATCAGCGTAAAGGCATCAGCTGCACCAGGGAACTTGTTCTTATCAGGATGTAGCAAGAGAGCTAACCTGCGGTATTGCTTCCTGATAATAGAATCGTCAGCTGTTGGATCCACTTTAAGAATATCGTACCAGTTTTTCTCATTTCCAAAAGTTTTATTCTCCGCAGAGCAATGCACGTCACAAACCAAAACCATCTGCTCAATGTTCTCCAGATTAGGAAAGAGCTCCTGGGCTTTAGATGCAAACTTTTTAGCTCCAATGAAATCTCTATTTTCCATCTTCTTTTCGGCAATCCCTCTAGCCCTGATCGCCTCTTCTTTGTTGCAGTCCATCACTGGTCTAGAATTTGATAGTAACGCTCCTCTACTACCTTATGCTTCAGAAGGTAGAATTCAATAGAAGCATATGTTTAAGAAACTATAATATCCAGGTCAGCTATTCAAGTTCGTGTAACCTGAAAAAATATAGGTCAAATCTCAGCTTAATTGAGAAAGAAAAAACTAAAAGGATTAATTGTTCAGAAATGCCGATGCTACCAGAGAGGAAACGTAAACGAGGTGACTCAGCTCTAAAATGGTTGGGTTGGCCAAGAATATGCTTTAAATTACTACACACTCAAATCTATTCTGAAAGCTTCATTCTATTCATTTATCTTTTCACACATATTACCATGTTAATGATTTTCACAACCAAAATATTGCTGCACTAAAGCAGACACTCATTCTCTTTCCATGCTTTCCACAATACCAATTGCTTAGATTTCTCTGTTAACCTGAATTCTATCAAGAGTTCCCTTCACTACAACAAAGCCTATGCTTATGATTCAACGAACTGCTAATTTGAACAGTTGCAATGTCTGAAATAGATTCTCTATATTTCCAATTTGTGATAGCAAACTTTTCAATCTTTGATACTCAACTTAAACAGTTAACAAACCTAAAATTGCTCTTCACTGTAAAAAGAGAATACATCAAACCTAAAATTGCTTTCCACTGTAAAAAGAGTATGCATCAAGCTCATTTGAACTATATAAATACACACACGCAAGTATGTGTGTGCGTACACATGCATCCATGTGTATGCACGTATGCATCATTATCATAACAATAGATGCAGGATGTTTATCAAGTATTAACCAGCTTTTATTTTGCCAGAAGTATTTCATCACGCTCATCCACATATTATCTTGTAATTATATTTGGATATAGTATCATTTTACCCGCTATACAGGGAAAGAGGGAGTTGAAACCTGAGCCAAAGGGAAGTTTATGATTGAAGTCTTGCTATAAAATTAGAGAAGCAATTTACTTCTATACTCCCAGTCCCAAAACGAACGTCCAAGTTTCTTCTTAGTTTTTTCCATATTATGTGCTAACAACCGACTTCTACCACATACTACTATTATACTAAACCAAAAGTTACTTGAGCCCCACCTTTACCTCGCTTTAAAGAACATTTTCTTTTTACTACTTTTCAAAAAAATAAAATAAGTAGAAGCAACTCGCGCACCACAAATGTACCTCCTTTAATGTTAAATGACCCACATCTTGGATTTCAAATTCAATTCAGAAGGAAGTTACACCAACAACAACTAAAATCTAAAATTATAAACTAGTTGGGGTCCATTATATGAATACTCTTGCATCCATTGTGCTCTATTTACGTCCATTTCATCTTCCTACTCAACAAATTTCCTTTTAAGACAAATTATGTGTTCTCTGCCCATGACTTTGGTTCATCGGCAAAGATAGTACAGTGCGAGATCTCTGCTACTTACAGTTAACTAGTTGAAAAGTTGGTATTTCACCAAGCTTAATATTTTAGTGGAGAAGGGTAAAAGGCAAGCCAAAAGACTTCTCAGTCATCAAAAAGAAAAAAAATTATGGGTTCTCAAGAACGTATTCTTTTATCTAAGTGCCCGTTTGGACATAAAATTTGATGGAAGATTTTCCCAAAAAAACACTTTTTTTTCGAAATCAGCATTTGTTCATAATTTCCAATTTTCACTTGAAGATGCATTTTAGAAATTTTTGAAAATTTGAAAAACTGCAAAAAACTATTTTTCACTAAAATCACTCACAAATTTTCAAAAACAACCCAAACTGAAATTTATGTCCAAACACAAATCTAAATTTCAAATACCATTTTCACTTGAAATTTTTTTTTTACCATTTTTTCGAATTTTACAATTCTTATGTTCAAACGCCTACTAAGTTTCTTCCCTGTGCATTAGCTATCTCCACCCCCACCCAGTGAGCTGGAAGGTTACGTACGAATTCGGCTAAACCCAATACCTTCAGTCCAAACCCTTATTTATATTAAGAAATCTTACTGAATACATACGAAAATTAAAATCAGAACCTAGTTACTAACACCTAATGTCGCTTTCCTAAAATGTAGAACCCATAAAGTTCAAATCCTAGCTCCGCCTCCGCCCCCGCCCCCACAAATCTCCAACCAAACTGAAAAGACTCCTATAATGGACTGAAAATAAACTAAATCAACAACTAAAATGACAGCACGGACACTTTTACTTTCATGCACGTCATACCCAGTAATCCAGCACTATTGTGAAAGAATCTCACTATTCATAAACAAGATCACAACTTTCAAAGAAAATAATTAAACATTAATCTTTCTACCCCACGGCAAACAAACAAAGTGGGTGTTTTCAGAAACTACAAGCATTAGACAAAGATGCCATTTTTAGTGCTTCCCATTAAACATGCAACACTATAATTAACATTTTCACGCAGTGTACTTAAACCAAATACAAGAAAGATTCTAAAACAGAGTAAGTAAAAATAAGTCATCCTCACCTAAAATAAAACTTTTAACTTTAAAAAAAAACTATATTTCAACCAGAAAACAAACTTTTATGCAAAAATACAAACCCCAAACTATCGGATCAAAAAGAAAAAAACCCCACAAAGAAAAATAAAAAAAATCAATTTTACATGTAAACAAACAAGAAATGGCTTTTTAATTATTATTTTTTTGTTTAATAAAAAGAAGCATAGAGTGTATGAAGAACCTTACATTGTGTTTAATGTGAAGTTGATGAACTGTTTGACGAAAAGAAGAGAATGCTAAATAGAGAAGTGGCAGAGGGACTGAAAATTTGTATATGGAAGATGAACAATGAACAGTACGGGAAGAGTATCAAAAGGTCCTTAATGTTGGCTCAATTATGGCATGTTTCTGTTGGTCTTTTAGTTATTTTTGCCTAACTTCAGGGGCTAAGAAAGGTTTAGTCTTTTCCAATTATGTCCTTGACAGAGCAATAAATTTGAGTTTTTTGTCAAGTGTTCCTGCCAATGGCATTGAAATATATAATTTCCCGTGAATATTGTAGAACATTTTAAATTACTTTTAATATACACTATGAAACCTTTTGTGTAATTTAATTATACTTTTGATCCTCATTTATTATTGAATTTTGATTTTAATCCTTGAAATATTTCAATAAGCATTTTATATATGAAATATGTTATATTTGGATTATTTTTAGAATAATATTATTTTTAAAAGACAAAATAACGACACAATTTTAGTATAACACATGGATAATAAAAGTTAATAAATTGTATAATTTCAGCAACAAAGGGATTAAAATTGTGCATTTCAAATAATTAAATAACCACAAATTCATGGGTAAATTACCAAAAATTCTTTCTTCCTTAAATTTTCATGTGCTCGATATTAGCAATAATAACTTTTCTGGCACAAAGTGAAGTAGTCAGATTACAGGATTGTTAGTACTTGTCATGTCACACAGTCAACTTCAAGGTCATATTCACATGGAATTTGATGTTTATCTCAAGTTTTAGGCTTGACAATGAATAATGATTCTACGAGCCAGTTCCAAAATATTTCTATTTATGAGAATACCTTTTTCTTAACAAGAATTACCTAACTGATATATTTATACATAGAATATTCTCGCATCACTCTGGTTTGTTACCTTAGATCTGAGTGATAATGCATTTGTAGGAAGCCATTACCTAATTGACCTTTCTTTGTTGAAAATCTTCTTTTTAAAATAAATCAATTTATAAGTAAAATTTCAAGATATGGTTCCACTTGCCACAACTTGAATCTGCTTTTCCTTCTTGACAAATTATCTTGATTATCCTGCTTTTGAACTAATGCTAGATTTTTTCTCTAAAGATCAACTTGACTCACAATAAATTAATAGATCAGGGGAGTGTACAAGCCTACTTGCTGTGGGGTACAAGTAAATAAACTTATCTAAGAAACAGAAGGATTTGCAGTTGCTCAAACTATTTTATTACATCAGTTCTTTTCCTTCACTCCTCCTGCCAAGAAAATTAGACTCAAGAAGTCTACGAAAATAATTTTATGTAGAATGTATATGTTTACAAAGTTTAAAAATAAAATATTTAACTTACAAAGAACGAAACTAATTAATTATTATTCGAGATTTTTAATGTAAATATGAGAGCTGGTCACTTGTCATATAATAGGATAAAGAGAGAATTCTCTTTTTATATTGGTCCCTTTGAAAAACAATGCCAAGTTGTTGCTCTTTTCCATTTTTGTGTTTTCTTTAATATTTCAAGAGGGGCAATAAAATTTCAAGATTACACCTATCACAGGGTTTACATGAAGAGATACAAATACGACCAATTTTTGAATTATAGTACACATGCAGGAAAGACTACTGCCAATTATTCTACTACATGTACTTTAAATATTCTAATGTATAAGCAGCAAGTAAATTATTCTTTTGATTGGAGAGAAATAGCCTTTCAATTTCTTTACAAACAAATCATATAGTAACAGCTAAGCTAAGCCTTAAAAATTAGTGTGCCAACATTAATTCTATTGTCACATGTAAAACACACGACAATAAGTATGTGCGCCATGTTGATCAGAATCAAGCCCACAGTAAAACATCAAGAAATTACGCCCAATGACCTTAAAAATAGATGATCTTGAGTTCTTTTAACTCCTGCTTGCCCATGGGGCAACCGAAAGGCAATACTTGTTAAACTAGAAGTTCTGTCCATGAGACAAGCTAGGTCAAAAAATCAATAGTGGTACCAAAGGGTCCTATTTGTACAAATCACTCTTAAAACTAGGGGTATACATAAATGGGGTTGGTTTGGATTTACCAAATCAAATCAATGGTGTCGGGTTTTTAAATCTATAAACCAAACCAACAAAATCGGATTTTTGCGGGTTTTCGTATTTTTTCCTAGTAAAGTCTTCTTAGCACAAAATATGTAGCTTGTGCTCCTAGTATTTCTTTAGTCCTAGTAAGATACAACTATATAATGTATTTTTCAAAAAATAACACAATATTATTAGATAAGTCATAACTTTATACTTAAACATTCAATAACAAAGATAATAAAATTGCATAAAGCAAATATTGCTAATTAATAAGCCATAATAAAAATTAACATAATTTAAAAATACTATACGGGTCATGCTAAAATAAGTATAGCTAATAAGTCTATTAATTACATAACTAAACACTAAAGAAAAAGATAAACTAAGTTATGCATTTTCTTTATAAATCAATGTAAATCTAAAAAATACATATCCAACACTATCATCACTCGTAGTGTTGAATTGAATTTCTTTTTTTAGCATTAGTATTAATTTGAACTTTGTTTGAGTTACTACATTTATGGGCTATAAAATTTATTTACCATTCTAGAATGTTAAGTCCAAACTTGAAATAATACGTTAAAAGATAAACTGCGAAAACGTTTAAGAATTATTTATAAATTACATTACAATTAATATTTATAAATATAAAATATTTTTAAAAATTGTATAAATGTACTATCGGGTTGGTTTAGTTTCGTATTGACTTTTTATAGTTAAAACCAAACCAAACCAATTATAGTCGAATTCGTCCCCAATATCAAACCAAATCAAACGAAACCACAATCGATTTTTTCCCGGCTTGGTGCAGTTTATCGTTTTCTTTGTACACCCCTACTTAAAACATGGCAAATGGCCCCGCTAAGCCTGGAAATGGACCAACCCAATCCGAAAAAGTGGGACTGGCACTGTCACGATCCAATTTCTCCTATAGGCCGTGATGGAGCCCGACGTTACCGTTAGGCAAGCCAACAGTGAACTAACTCTGTGATCTTTTCTTTTAGAAATTTGAAATAGTTGATTTTTAATTATTCTGAATTCAAGAAGTGAAAAAAATTAGTAAAATGAGAAAATAAACAATTTTAAAAGCAATTTGATGAAGTAATTACTCAAAAATCAACAAGTGTCTACTAGCATAAATCTCCAAGACCTGGTGTCACAAGTGTATGAGCTACTAGTAGAATATACAAAAGAATACTACATTACTGTCTGAAGTGAAATAGACAGAAAATAAAACAAAAGAAAGACTTCGGCTGCTGCAGAACGGGCTCGGAAGGCAGCTCACCGCAGAGTCTCGTGGAATCAAGGATACACGCCGGACTGATATCCAGATGCAGACTCAGATCCTGCACATTTAGTGCAAAAGTGTAGCGTGAGTACATAAACAACATGTACCTAGTAAGTATCCAGTCTAACCTCGAAGAAGTAGTGACGAGTGGTCGACTCCGATACCTACTACGGGTTAACAATAAAATAACGGAATTATAACTAAGCATGGACCATATAAATACAACTGAAAACTCAAAAACAAGAATAAGTGAACAATTCTTTCACTAATAGTAAGTCCCAAATTAATTCCATCATTTAACTAGTTAATCTCTCAAGTCAATGAAACAATACTAATTATAATTGGGCTCCAAGAATTATTAGGCACGAATTATGCTGAGGTCGTACAGCCCGATCCAACATACAAATATATAAATTGTGCACTGTCGATGGTCGAACGGCCGAACCATAGATGCATCTATTCTATTACCGAGGCGTTCGGCCCGCTCCACAGGAAGAGAAAATACTTTATAACACCGATTCAGAGATTATTAAGAGGTTAATATCCAAGGAAATATCAATTCTCATTAACAGCCAAGTAACTCGTCCAAGCCTCAAGTAAATCAAATTCGACCTTTCAAAATTCCTTTATCAAGTTCCGATATGATTTAAGCATTTAAATTAGCAAGCAGAGTGCAAATATCGCAAGTATCACATGATTTGGGTCCTAAACTACCCGGACATAAGCATAATTAGTAGCTACATACGGACTCTCGTCACCTTGCGCGCATGTAGCCCCCACAAATAGGAGCACATATTAAAACAATTCACCTATGGGTTTAATTCCCTCTTACAAAGTTAGAAAAGAGACTTACCTCGTCTCAAGCTTACTTTCCGGTCCAAAATTGTGCTTTAAACCCTCAATTCGGTGCCAAACTACTCGAAACTAGTCAAATGTTATATAAAATAGTCAATACATGTTCAAAAGTTCATATCACAACTATTAAAGTGATTGTCCAACCCCAATTCAAGAATTCTTAAAATTCACCCCCAGACCCACGCGCCCGGATTTCGGAAATTTTCGAAGAAAGTTGTTACCCATAACCTCATGAACTCAAATATATGATTTTCACCCCATTCCATAATCATTTTCGTGGTTAAATCCCATTTTTATCAAAACCCTAGGTTTTCCTCAAAAATCCCATAAATCCCACCATTTTCCATGTTAAATCTACTTATGATTCGTATATTTAGCTAAAGAATCGATAGGGATCACTTACCTCTTGATGTTGATGGAACCCCTCTCAAAAATGCTCTCAAAATCGTCCAAGACCAAGTGAGAAATGAGGTAAATAAAGCTAATGGCCCGGCTAAGCCTGGAAATGGACCAATCCAACCAGGAAAAGTGGGACCGGCACGCAGACGGGGACCTGGATTGGCTAAAACTCAAACATACAGTAGACCACGCTTGCTACTCAAAAGTCAAAATAATTCAAAGTTGTATTCCCAAGACAATGAACTCAAGTAAAAAAATGTTTTTATGTGATACAAATCATACAATAATGCGACAAGATTTAATAATAATAATAATCAAGAGGAATTCCAAGTATGGGGTTACAATGAGAAACACTGAATACATTTGTGTTTAATGAAAGCGCAATTAGAGATACAAAAGAAATTCCCTCCCAAAGAACCATAGTTGTC